CAACAAGAAACTGTCTCCACACGATGGAAGCACAAGAAGAATGGCAAGAGACTAATGTGGCTGCACAAGGAGCTTCTAAAATGCCTCAAATGCAAAGGAAAACCAAGAAATAGCAAGAACCTGCAGGGACAAAAACAGGAAAGTAAAGATAAAGAACAAGCTGCACATGGCAAAGGTGGTCAAGGACACTGAGGTTCTGTAACTAAGTTGGCCAGAAAAGAAGGACCAAGGAAGCCCTGGGTCCACTGTTACAAGCCTGGGGAAGCTCCTAACAGAAGATGCAAAGAAAGCTGAGCTACTCAATAACTTCTTTAACTGTTTTCACAAAAAAACTAAGCTGCAGCTAGACACCTACAGATTAGCTAGATAAGGAAGAGGGCAAGCAGAAAGTTGAGATAACAAAAGAGATGGTGTAACAGGGAGCCAGAGGGCTCCTGTTAGTTTAAGGGGAAGCTGTAGCAGGCTGATCTGGCTGCATGGGGGGCTGGCAGTTTGGAAGCAAACTACATACTAGGGAGCTGGCTGCCAGCAAACAAGCAGAATAGTAGCCACCCAGAAGCAACCCTGGGAGAAGGGATTCTCCTATGAAACAGCTATAGGCAGCCAAACAATGGCCAGCTGTGAGAAGGCAGGCAGCAAGGAAATGCTGCTTCCTAGGCAATGAGCTTCCTATCAGGGTAAAAAGGCATACCTGTGGCAAGATCCAGGAAGTCACTAGGGCCTAAACCTAGGGCCTGAGTCAGGTCATGAAGTCTGGCCCTGCAGGTGGGAAGGCTGCAGAGGAGTACCTGGCTGACAGATGAACTATCTGGAACTACCAGTAAGATTGAAGGGTTAAACATGAATACAACCCAGATGAGGGGTGTCACAACCCAATGATTTTAGTGCCTCCGCACGATGGAATTTTCCCGCCACATGAGAGTCTCTGTGCACAGCAAAAGTTTTCTGCTGCAACAGAAAACCCCGGTGCAAGAGAGTTCCCGCCATTTCGCATGCAAATTTGTGTCCCGCTATTGGCCAGTTCTAAATTATTCCTACGTGGCAGCTAGTAATTGGCTTGCTGGCCGTATAAAATTTTGTGCGACTTCCGCCCAAGTCGGAGAACTTTGAGCACGCCGCAGAGTGCTAAAGATATCTGACTTGCGGCTAAGCTGATCGATAGACTGATCACCTATCGATTCTTGTCCCCGTCGCCGAGCGCAATCCTCGACGTACCCTTTCCCTGCCGGCTTAATTTGTGGACGGATTAGCTGGCCTGAGCCTTGCCAGCTGGAGCAACTCGTGGAGTTGTTTAAGCGACCGGACCACCTGCGTCGCGGCTATTAGCGGCGTAAGTAAAGCTTTTTGCAACCAATACGTGTTGTCTGCCTCTCCATTCACCAGCCTGCCCAAACGACCGAGTAATTTCTAAATCACCTCGAGTCGGCTCCAGCCGTCCGGGACAAGGGGAAGTCTTGCAATACAGCCAGCGAGTTGGGGTTTATGTTTGGACCCAGTCCAGGGATAGTTAAGGTCACAGCCTGTGAGCTTACACTTTTGTTGCAGTTTAGTCCGGTGGTTTCAGCA